AGTGTATACCAAACCAGGCAAGCAGAAAATTCTACTTGACCGCGGCTGGGATTCGAACCCGCGACCTTCGCATTTCTAGAACGATGCTCTACCGTCTGAGCTACAAGGTCAAGCTGAGAACGACTTGTTAAGTTATGATGTTAGTTGCATTTCGGAGGTTAGTCCTTCAATGCGTAAAGCCAGCTATTAGTCTGGCAATGTTGTATGTGAATGTTGTGGTTTCCCACGTTTACGATTGCACTCGTGTAACGTTATATCGTGGTTTTTGAGTTGTTTTCAGACGAGTGTATACCAAACCGGGCAAGCAGAAAATTCTAATTGACCGCGGCTGGGATTCGAACCCGCGACCTTCGCATTGCTAGAACGATGCTCTACTGTCTGTGCTACAAGGTCAAGCTGAGAACGACTTGTTAAGTTATTATGTTAGTTGCATTTCGGAGGTTAGTCTTTCAATGCGTAAAACCAACTATTAGTCTGGCAATGTTGTATGTGAATGTTGTGGTTTCCCACGTTTACGATTCCACTCGTGTAACGTTACATCGTGGTTTTTGAGTTGTTTTCAGACGAGTGTATACCAAACCGGGCAAGCAGAAAATTCTAATTGACCGCGGCTGGGATTCGAACCCCGCGACCTTCGCATTTCTAGAACGATGCTCTACTGTCTGTGCTACAAGGTCAAGCTGAGAACGACTTGTTAAGTTATGATGTTAGTTGCATTTCGGAGGTTAGTCCTTCAATGCGTAAAGCCAGCTATTAGTCTGGCAATGTTGTATGTGAATGTTGTGGTTGAAAAATCGTCTGAAATCAACTCAAAAACCACTACATAAGGTTACACGAGTGGAATCCGGCGTAAACGTGGGAAACCACCGCCACTTCGCTGAATACAATCGAAAAAATACATTTTATAGTAATATATGATGAAATGGAAAGTAATTTGGTGCAAACTAATGTAATTAGGTGCAAATCTATCATTCTGCAAATGAACACAAGTGCACAACGCATGTTTATGAGTCTACAACGTAGATTTATATTTGTTAATTAAAAAGTCAAACTGTCCAACAGTTGTTTATACACAGTAAAAACAAATTGGTTAAAATGACCAAAAAAAATTGGTCGTTTGAATGCGTCTGAGACAACCAGTTTAAATTGGTCGTTTTAACCAAAAAAGTATTGGTCAAATTGACCAATTATTTAATTGGTCAAATTGACCAATTATTTATTGGTCAAAACAACCGGAAATAATTGGTTGTTTTGACCAATAAATAAATGGTCAATTTGACCAATTAATTATTTGGTTAAAAAGACCAATTTAAACTGGTTGTCTCAGACGCATTCAAACGACCAATTTTTTTTGGTCATTTTAACCAATTTCAAATGACCAAATTAAAATTGGTTAAACATTTAAATTGGTTAAAATGATCAAAATTGCTTTCCATTTCGCCATTAAACCATTCAAAACGTGCTTGAAAAACAATAATTTATTAACAAATAAATATTAAGATTAAAATACAAAATCAATATACAGTATATGCAATATAATAACTTATAGGGATGAAACGTCACACGAAACCTCTCTGACTGTAAAATTAATATTTCTACAATATTTGCTCGTCGAAGGCTATCAAGTCATATAGCCAAAACTTGTGAAAATAAATATTTACACGCATGCATGCATGCAGTCAGAGAACCATTTCATATTTCACAGCGGACTCCGTTTGACCGTAAATTCTAGAGCCAAAGGGGCGGGATTACAGTTGGATTTAGAGAAATGTGGCGGATAAACAAGAAAGGTCGTTGTTTTCAAAACGGAAAGCCCATTTCTGCAAACAGAGATGTAATATTGTAGACGAAATCAAATTTTAGATTTTGTTGATGTAGCGATGAACTATATTTGTAATGTGCAAGTCAGGAGAAGGAAATGCGAAGGCCTTTATCGTGATATTTTTCTCCTTCTCTAACAATCCTTTTATTTGAAAGTTGAAGTAAGACGACGAGAAATCAACTTCCGTGTCGTCAACTTCGGTTGTAAGACGTGGATGTTTCGAATCCATCGTAAGAGAAACTCATTAGATTTTCTTCTATCATAAAAACGAGCGTTGCTCTCTTTGCAGCACAATAGTCGTAAATAATTAACTTTCACTATGGACATAGTTATCGACAACTTTATTTAGCAAAAACAACAATGGCAACGAAGTGCATGGCACGCATTAAACGGCTTCTATCTATTGCGCGCCAACTGTAATCCCGCCCCTTAGAAATATTGTCATTGTCACAGCCCAACGTGCTTTGCGAACGCATGCTGCTAGATCATGTTGTTTTACTAGGAGAAGATGGGTTGATCTTTGTGATTGATAATTTTGGAGGATGATATGGAA